GTACTGTACTATGAATAGTTGAGTCTCCCGCCAGGTGGTGAGAATCACGAATTGGCCAATCATGCTGCTCTCGACGTTTTTGGACAGTATTCTATGTATTCTTTGAGAGCCAGCCCCCCCTMGACCTATCAAATTACTTAAGTAAGAATGTGTAACCACCATTGCCACTTWAAAAAGACCGCGCGATTCTAGAAGARCTACCGGTACATGTGTTAATCGTTACTGTAGAGTCGTGCGGTTATTTTCTTGTCATGGAAGTTATCGCATTGTAAGTTCGAAAACCCGTTAAMTCGTGTCGCCGGTTTTCRGYYTTTTSGGGACTTGGGTACATWTTTATCAGTAAATTCTTGAAGACTGACGCATCTGAAGCCCACATTATCACGTGTCGCGAAATCGAGCAAACCGCGCCTAAGCGGTTCGTTACCAAGAATRTAACAATTTTGTTGTACATTATTTTTCGTGCTTTCACGTTAAAATTTCCAAAATTAGCAAACAGCTGTCCGAAAAATTACGGGCCCCAGCGAACCGAATTTCCCAGTTTCACAATTTTGTGAATCGATTCCTCGTGAAAGGTCTCGTAAAACAACCCTCGACCCCACACCATAGCGCTTCGTTAACACTTTCGTACATCGATTCAATTGAACAACCCTCCCATCATCATCTTTACTATGCAATAAACACCTTACGAGTATTTTTGAAACGGTAAGTGTTCCAGCGATCATCGTAGCCCCAAATTTTGCTGCATTGCGACTCGTRTTGATTCGTGGTTGCATTCAGTTCTCGATCGATACAAAACTTGAGAGGTCTGATTTTTCGACCGAGAACTCTACCAATTCGCTCGTTGAGCCGTTATTTSGGCGGTTAAAGTTGTGACTCTGTTGTTCTTCGAAACAGTCTGATGTCAAACTTGCGTACGCAATGCRCGCCAGCTGCCATGATGCGTCCGAATTTACATACGGGACGTGTCATGTGCGATAAAATTAGCCACGCCTTTTTTGTTTTCAACGCTTCTACTCTTTTGTGTGCTGCACGAGCCAGCCATTGATTTGCGATTGCGAGCTCCCTTCAAATACACCTTCCTTTCCATCTKCACCACCACCTTTCAAAACTGCTTCTGCTTTKTCCCATCGAGTTGCAARTTGTCTCCGAAGGAAAACACTATCRTTTCGTACAACGATTATTACAGCACCAAAAGCAACCCCTTCAACCCTGATAGCTTCTAACTWATATCCTTTCATGTTCTCTCCATCACGATAAYTTAATACAGAGAACAGTCTAAACAAGTAGCCTTGGGTTTTCACCCGGCCTTCTTTGGCTCCTTCTCTTTCCCACCCATTCCTTAGTTTCCGAGAACTAGCTCTGCTATTCTTCTCTCACTCTTCCAACGGCCCAGCCCACCCAAACACACATTAAACACACAACAAAATAGCCATGACAGCGTCTGTACTGCCGAGTCACCTATCGCAAGCTCATGTGAAGGTCAATGTTCGTCTCTGCGGCTCGATACCTCGGATAGCGCTCTCCATGATGCAACAGGAAGCAACGAGACGCCCTCAGAGTGCCCCTCATCTTCCAATGTTCACGTCGTCAGACCGTCAGGATATGTTTTTGAAATCAAACATTGCTGTATCTGAAAAGGACGAGAACTGCGTTGCAAAGCAGCTTTGCTCACAGCTCAGTACTGTGAAACAACAGCAGTTAGAACAAACATTTGAATCACAAAAACTAACAACTCAACCACAACACAGCCTGTTCTCTGGAACAATTCCATCAACCCTACGAAGAACGCCACCCACATACGAGGCTCCTTCATGGGCCGTTCCAGCTACCGGAGAATCGAGACTAGAGGTGAGCATGGATTGAGCAACTTCTGTAMTTCAGAATCATCCATGCCTATTGTCTTACAGAACCAGACCAATACTAATGCATATTCCTTTGCTTTGTCTCGTCACAGCCTGTTTTCGATTCGGTAGAGCGACAAGCACCTGTGGATTTAACATCCCGAGCAGTATTTCGTGTTGGGCGATCTCCCCAATCCGATGTACAACTCATGCACGTCACATCCTCTCGKAGACACGCTATGGTCTTCCATCACACAAATGGTTCTTGTTACTTGGTCGACTGTGGCAGTGCTCACGGCACCTTTATCAATGGAGTCCGTATCAGCTCGACGCCAAACGATAGCAATGTCGTCGTACCCACGAGGGTGAGACGAGGAGCTATCGTCCGCTTTGGTGGACCCGGAGCTCCCTCGTACATGCTGAAGTCTTTCTCCTTCGGTCTAGAACAGATGAAAGAAACATTAATTCCCGATATGAATGAGTACGCAGCGAACCTCCCCCCTACTCCSATGCTCACGGCAATGGTAGAGCACAACACCCGTTTCAATTCTCTTGGAAAGAGTGCGAAAGAAGAGCTGATGGTACAGCGTCACTTTTCTAGTAAGCGAAGTTTTGACTCGATGGAGACTGTACTAGATTGTCAATCTGATGACGAGATGGACGAAAATCGCCATACTGCGCCCGTCCGTTTGTCATCTCCACCCATGTCGCCAGARCAACCACTTCGATTGGTTTCCCCAGAATTGAACTGCTCGACTTCATCCCAGACACCAAACTTCAAGCGCCGTCGCGTTACTTTTTCTGATGAAACTCTCTTGGCTGTTTACCCAACACTTGTCACTCCAGACGTTTCTAGCGACGAACAAGATCAGGATATTGAGTGTTGCTCCTAGTAAAGAAATGCAAGGAAAACAATAGATATAAAATCGAAGCAGCACCGCTGGGTTACATGTGATGGTTGCGATGTCAAATGTCGTCCATGTTGTACATCATACTTCACTCATTTCAGACACGAATACCACTATGCCATCAATAAATACTTCACCACGAGTWTTTGATGTCGCATGCTCCATCACGTTCTACCCAGGTCATGATATTTTCTTGATTCCACTACTTGAATTTACGCTGGTGCTGTTTTGAAACAACAGGCAACTGACAAATTCTTTTACTGTTATTTTACTGCGCCGAAAAGCAAAAATGGCAAATCCAAGAGACCTACGAAAACAAAGAAAAAACGAAAAACAAGAAATCCCAAAAAAATATACACCCACGCTGTAAAATATCAATAGAGCTTTATTTTTTCTCTAACTGTTCCACCGTAATTCCCTACTGCCTACATCCATTCTCGACTCCTGATGCAGTATTGGTTCCTGTGAACTGAAGTCTCCATTTGGCACATGCAACTTGTATTCTAATCTCGTTACATCGTTGCCCAGGAGATTTGCTGTAAAGGGAATACTGTAGGCATTACTAGAATACGTGTTCGGGATRGAAGTGATCGGTTATAATGAGYCTACGAGTTACTTGGTGAATCAATGACTAGCATTGAAAAGTTGWAACACCTCCTGATAMTTACAATTTACGTAAAATGATTTTCTATTGTATTTTCATTCCGATTAGCCTATGGTTGACGCATACGTTAGGTCATCGATTCGTCTACTTTAGTTCAGCAAACATATTGCATTTCCCTTTTTTATCGTTCGGTTGATTAGTAAATGCGTCCTTTTACCTCAGAAGTCCGAACACCGCCCCTTGCGTTCCCAGTCWCCAAACCGCGTCGGTTCCGGGAAACGACCTCCCCTTCGGGGTCCGCCCCACTCCGTTGCCCCGTGTTCAAAGGCGGGGGAGACRTGRGCTTCTACAAACATTTCTTCCTGTTCCATTTCATCGTCGTCTTCGTCGTCGGAATCGATGTCGCCGCATGCCGCAATCTTGACCTTTTCCACCATGACAGCGTCGGTCGTAGATGACGACCGTGTACCGGAGGTATCGTGATAGCTGTTGACATCGTTGCTGTTCTCTATGGATCCAGAATYGGCATCGTCAATGAAATGATTGAATCGTTTAGTGAGTCGTACAATACGTGAAGTTGAAGAGAATCGAAGTGTCAATCCTTTCWAACAAAATCGTGACGGGTATGAAAAATTGATGTTTTTGTAGTCATATTTGGTGATGCAACCAGAACTCATTCTTCTTTTAATCACGAGTACTCGTACTCCGAGTCTCGGTAAGGGACTTWTTACTATCGTTCGTGCCCGTTCACGAAACCACCTGTTCGAAATCAAAACCTTCGTCCAATACCACATCAATCAACGGAGACGCACCTTCTGATTTATTGCCAAACCACGAGGAGAATGCGGATGATTGYACCGGATAGCAGGACCTGATAGTTCGGGCGGTACTAGTACTCGTACTGTTGCTTTGAAGAGAAGGCAGCGCATTCGATCGTACGCGTAGAGCTATTAGGCGGATGAGGCTTGGAGACGGTACTAACATACTTCTAGCGTTTTTGTTTTATCTTTTTCAACAAGAATTATGACAGCMATACAGAAGTACCGAGTTGCTAAAAATTGATTCCCGGATGATGRTGGAGACGGAGATAATGTTATGGAAACTGGTACCAGATTCCTAAGTACTTTTACATACCGGTACGGTGTTTCATTGTGTGAGTCAGAAGTCAGTCACGAGGGAACTAGAGAGATGATTTTTTGAAAATTTTCATTCCCCGACTGGAGTTTTCTTCCCCTCACTTTTTGTGCATTTGAGTCGACACATTTTCCTCAACCACACTCAAGGATTCAACCGATGACACCAAAACACTATCAATGAATAGTCATCTTCGTTGTAAATTTATTTCATCCAAACGTTTGGGTCGTTTCAAGGGTCACAAAKATTATAAAGAAAAGGGAATAAATTTCGTGTATTCAATTATTCATTCTGATGGGATTGGATGACCAGAAGCATCCGATGGAGTTGATTTTGTTCGACGGGGTAGGGCGCTGCTCTCGCCTTAATCCAATCCCATCCTTTCTAAAATTGAATGATTGTGACAAAAATCTTCTCCGACTAAGAAWAACCACTTGCCTCAATAGGTCCATTACACAAAAACAATCCGATCGACAATGATATCCTCGACCCTTCTTGCTTCCATCTTTGCGTTTGGTTTTCTCCATTCGATTGCTCTAGCAGAGCCTTCACTGCGAAATGGTACAAAGAAAAACGAAATTCTAGTGCTAGATAATGTCGATGATATGTCGGGCTGGCTTCGAAATGAGCAAGCACAGGAAACCGAAACCGATTCCATCAGTAATGACGTGAAATCTGACGATATGGCGAGTTTGTTACGAAATGGGGAAGCGAGGCAAAGCGATATATTGCGGTTAGAAAACATWGGCGATCTATCGAGCTGGCAGCAGAATGCGGAAGCTAGGGAAACGGAAACAGAATCACCCGATGATGCTTACAGTAACGATCTACCGAGTATGCTACCAAAGCGGGCAGCAAAGGGAAACGAAATCTTACAGCTGGATAGCTCTGACGATCTGATTAGTTTGARCTTGGAAGCGGGTTTCAGCATTAAGTTGGGAAATCAGCCAAGTTTGGCCCCCAGTGAGTTTCMGACTGTGATCTTATCGATCGAACCAAGTGCATTGGAATCAAATGGTCCCTCTCTTTTCATCGCACCGACGGTCTCAGACTCTGATGGAACTACCGATGATGAAGCGCTGTCCAATACGCCAACACTCATTGAAGGTAGCAAATTTCCTATCGAGAGCCCAAGCGAGAACCCAACCAAAATTCCGAGCGAGAGTCCAAGTGAAAGTCCCAGCGAGAGTCCCAGCGAGAGTCCAAGTGAGAGTCCAAGTGAGAGTCCAAGCGAGAGTCCAAGCGAGAGCCCCAGCGAGAATCCTACCGGAATCCCTACCACATTTGTCCCCACAACTTTTGTTCCGACAACTTTTGTTCCTACAACCTTTGAACCCACACTTGGTACAACTTTCATTTTAAGCACATCTTCTTCGGCTCCCTCATTTTCAATTCTTCCTTCTTCATCAACTGCCGACTCTGCGGGYACGAGCGAAGAAAACGCTTCGTCACCTACCTCCAGCCCATCACTTAACCCTACCCTTGGAGGCTGCAAAATTACATCGGAGGAAAGGGTCACACAAATGATGGAAGTTTTGGATTCGRTAGGAAACCTGTCCACCATTGATGACGTAAGCACACCCCAAGGAATGGCAGCGAACTGGCTCATCAACCAGGACTTGAGGGAACTGTGTCCTGACGAAAATATTGTCCAACGCTGGGTGATTGCCGTGTTTTACTATTCTACGAACGGAGATTCCTGGCCAGGATGTTCCGTGACTGGTTCAGATCCCTGCGGAAGTGGTCGCTTTTTAAGCGAGTCAAGTGAGTGTGATTGGGTCGGTATAACCTGCAACGAAGATGATATTGTGACCAAAATCGAATTTGAGCAGCAAGGTTTGGTCGGGACAATGTAAGATTTGTAACTGCTGTGCACTGAACATCGTGAATTACTTTTAGTCGATCTTACATTAGCACTTTCTTGTCTTTCACAGCCCAATGGAGTTGGGTCTATTACAAGATCTAGCCGTTTTGGAGATGCAGAATGAAGGTGAGAATAAATTTGGTGTAGAATCATAGGCTTGCTCAGTGAACAATTGATTTTGTTTTCTCTRGAAATTGAATTCTTACCGCTGAACTACGAAAATRTCTCGATTCTTTTGCTTAYCTTCTGTTAATGCGTAGGACTTGTCTCTATTATTCCGACAGAGATTGGTAGATTGACTAATCTAATCCGTCTGGTCCTCGATTTCAAYAATTTAACTGGTAGCATCCCGATTGAGCTATACTCGTTGACCAATCTAGAAACATTGGAACTGAATAATAACTCTTTGACGGGCGACATTGATTTGATCGGCGTCTTCAGCGATCTCGAGTTTTTGCAGTTGCAAGGTAAGTTTTTTCTTTCTTCAAGTCAAAATTTGTTCGTTCTCGGATACTGATGGTCGTCATTTCTTTCTCTTCTCCTCATTGCTCTACGTAGGAAACGAATTTACTGGAACTGTCCCTAACGATGTGGGTGATCTGTTTGAATTGAAAACATTCAATCTACACGAAAACGACTTTACGGGAACTGTCCCAGAGTCGGTCTGCGCTCTGAGAAGCACCAGAGGGGGCAATCTCATAAGCCTAATCGCCGACTGCGAGAACGGCACCGACGGCGCAGAAATTGAATGCACGTGTTGCTCCTCTTGCCGTAACTAGCTGAGAATTTTCCCCAAATATACAGATTGAACGCTGAAATCAAGCACGAGTGCAAACTGCTGTGAGATCATATTATATTTTGTGATTGTAGGATGTGGCATCTAGATATCACATCASATTTTCTCCTAATCGGACATTTATCATATTATGTTATAAAATCTTTAAAATATGTGTAATTGCTTCTTGATGTTGACAATCGCGTGCACTGTACCGTTACGGCAGGCATCGTATAAATTACAATAATATGAATCAATCAATCATTACTACAGTGCACGTCGACTGTTCTCCTTCGTTTGTTTTTGGTTTCCTTGCAAAATAATCTCATGAAATGAGCTACGACGTTCGATGTCGCTATAATTGCCAAATATGTAAGTTACATGGAGTCAGATAAAAATGCATCCTGCAGCGTGTAAGATCCGAGCCCTCCACTACCATTCTCTTCCATTTTCTGGTAGTAAACATATCCGCCTGCAAGTCCTCCCAACACAAAAACACCAATGAAAAAATGGCGCCAGAAAAAGGAACGTTTCTTCTTATGTTTCTTGCCGCCCCCATTTACTTCCTTGTGAGCGCTGGTGTCTTCCTTTTCTACACCGTCGGTGCTCAGGCACTTCATGGGGGATCTTTGGGCACATTTCACGGGATCCCCACAGTGCTGGCAGGCATAACAAACATGGGGTTTATCGCCGTACGCRAAGGCGTCGCAGAGGCCAGACAGGATGGTTGCCGGGGTTAAACCTTGGAACTCAACGAGCGGGCTGATTTCGTGGTTGATGGTCACGGACGGGCTCTTGTGGACTCCCCACTTTAGCTGCATATCGAGGGCGTGCTGCAGGAGTGCATTCGAATGATCTGATTCGGGATCCCCGCTATCGTCAAAGCACGATTCGATAACCTTCTTGTCGATTTTCGAATGCTTGTAGGCATCCTCGATGCATTTCTCGTTGGCAAAGTAATCGGAATCCCAACAGAACTTGGAAAAGTGATCGATGTAGTCCCAGTGAAACTTCGGACTCTTGTAGTGTTTGTCGATGCACATTCTCCTCAGGGCTTCTTTGACGATGTATTTKCCATCGGTGAGGTGATGCGAGGCGTGGCAGTAACGCCCCCCGTTCGTGCAGAGCAAGTAGCAGGGTTCGTCCGGGGCATCTGTATTTCCGACACATCCCAAGGCTTTTCCGTCCAGCAAAACAGGCCATTCCCTAAATTGCAATAGGTTCATGTTCTCATTATAACTGTCGTTGTCGTGGGTTTTTCCGTGCATTTCGTTCAAATCAAACGTCCTGGCGATGACGGAGAAATTTGAGGCCAGAAATTGCTTGGAGTGCATATCGGCAGGCGAATGCCAAAGATCCAAAATAACCTTGTTGACGAACTTGGGRACGTGCCAGGACATTTCGGCGACRACAATCCCAGTGGAATTGGGCTTCGAGTCAATGACTTTTTTGAGTTCGKCRTATTCGTTCTTGGCAATCATCATGCTGGGAATAGAAATATCCCGACCCGAACCATCGTCGGCCATACGGAATGCATYCCGGTGCTCCGTGTGGTTGCTTGTGTCGTGATGTGGATGGGCTCTGTGGAGAATGTCGCCACTCARTTCCAGGTTGTCGGGCAAGTGCTCGTGTTCCATGTCGGCAATCAAGACGGCGGCAGCTCCGAGGTGCTGGGCGTTGCGGACCTTCTTGACAAAGGTGCAAATACCAGATTCGACCAACAAGATAAATGGCGCGCCGCCGTCTGAGGGGATCTTCAGTTGTTTGTTCACCTCGGTGAAATCGAAATTATCGTTGCACAAGTAACGCGAATCCACGTACATTTTCACCGGCAAGACCAGAGACCCCTCGGGCCCGTGACCCATGCGTCCAAACATGGAAGCAGCATGGGGCCATGTTTTATTGTGTCGCAAGCTGGTGGGAATGTGAAAGTTTAGATATGTCGTTTCGTTTGCCGGGAAAGAGGCGCGGCAGGTACTGGCGAGAAAAGCCAATATGGTAGAAAGGCCTACTAATTGCTGTGGTCTGAAATAGTATTTCATCGTCGTTGCATCGAAAATCACTCCGAAAGAAATGCTCTCTGGGTATCCGAGATCAGAAATCTTCGAGGAAGGAAATCTGTCAAAAAAAAGTGTGTCTATTTCACATGCGGCGTGAAGCTACGATACTGTGAAAGAAGACTGAAGACACACTTGGCGCTCAACCGCTGGCGAAGAACACCGAGCGTCTATTTCTTATTTAAACCCGGGAACGAAACGAAAACGAACTTCTCAGTTTCGAAGCACAGTCCGTGCAAGTACGGCGCGGCCCCGGTACGTACGTTGGTACATTACTGGTACCAAATTTTTGCAACCGATATTGCAAAACGGTCGAAGGAGTCTATCGGTACTTAAAATACGTAGGCTTTTACGTAGGCTATAACACGTCACTTAGCCCCACTCCATTTACCACCGTACTTACAGGTGCTACATGATTTGTGGTAGGAATTCTACACAGCAATCGTATTAGCTTTTTTGCTGTGGTCCCATCCGTACCTCTTTTGGTTGCTTAAGACAGAGAAAATTACACTGAATATGCAACAATTTTGCAACTCCTCCCCCCGCTGACTCACGAGAGGTGCATTTTTTGCTCACAAAATAAAAAATAACAATACTCGCATACGAGTATCGCATACGAGTACCGGTTCAAGCAAAACCCAAAGCAAGACAAGCAAGAAATACTGTAACAAAATACTGTAACACACAGCGGACGAGTCCCCCTTGCTGCATACGAGTACCACGACTACTACTAGTGCTGCTGGTGGTACAGGTTCACTCAAGAAGGAAGACAGCCCCCGACGTCACCAGCACCACCACGAGAGGTGCAAATTGAATACTAGTACTAGCTACGAGGAGTACTACGAGTACTACTGGTGGTGGTGGTTCAAGCAAAACCCCAATCCTCAGCAGCACACCAGCCCCCATCGACTCACGTCAGCACCACGAGAGGTGCAAAGAATCGTCAAAGAGGAGTACTACGAGTACGGGTTCAAGCAAAACCTCAATCCTCCTGCTTGCATACTACGAGGAGTATGAGTACGAGTACAAGCACAAGCACAAGCAACGCAGTAAGCAACACCAGGAGCAACAAACAACCACTCGTCCTCCTACTAATGGCAAGAGGAGGGACTAATCGGCGCCGGGCTCAGCAAAGAAGGGGGGGAACTGTAACGCCTCCACGAGACGTGAACCAGCCAGGGCAATGGGGGAGATATCATAAGGTTCTGCTTGAGTTAATGGATCATGTGCATGGACACACCAGCGATGGAGACAACGATAATCGGTTCCCTAATGACAAGCTGTTCACCCCCGAGGAACTCAGCTTTTTAACTCCAGATCATATCTACAAGTTCTTTGCAAAGAAAGCCTTTGGTAGGGAAGATCCTGGTGTCGACGATAATCCTACACATGGTAGATCCACCTCTTTAGTTTACTACAA